CTTCTGGGCACTTATCGGTGCAGCTCAAGAGCTTTGTAACACTTGCCCGAGCAAGTGAGTCCCAAGTCCTATGAGTCCGAAGAGGCCGAGGTCCAGGGAGACGCCTGCCTATCGGTACGGTCAAGAAGCTGTCCTGACCAAAGAACTGTATCCTGAGTTGTTCCTGACCCTGAATTGTAACCTGGCACTTCCCTAATAAACCCCATAATTGTTAAGTATTGTCTGTGAGTTCTGTGTGGCCACTGCAACAAATTATTCAACCCAGTAGAGGAGTAGAGAGTGCTGTGGGAGGGATAGCTAGTGTAGGAATTGGTAAAAAGGTTGGAGAAAGGAGGCATGTCTGACCTCTTCTTCATAGGAATCAGCCTTCGGCTGTTGATGCTGATAATGATTCTCTGTCCTTCCCCTTGTGAAGTTAGATGAGGCGGTCTGATGCTGCCGCCATGCCATTTTTATAGTTGGCACTGCTTTTTACAAGAGCATATGTGTGGATTACACTTTTATTTTGGGTCTTGGGAGAAAAAGAACAGGATGGAAGTTTATATATGGAATTATGCGCATGGGAGAATATTAGGGAGTTATTCCCTTATGGGGTTAACTTTCTCAGCCAAGAGAGAAATGACAGTCAGATTTCTAAGAGAATTTTGATGCAGGGTGTTGTGGTGAGTTTGAGGAGAATGGCAAAGGTTTCATGGACTGCCATGGAGAATGGGGAGACGGAGGCTTGCTGAAGAGTGTTGAGCTTCCAAATGGAATTGAACATCGTGAATTCTAGCCCCAAGTTTGTTGTGATTCCTCCACTATTTACTACCCAGGAATAACTAGTAAGACTGGTCGCCATGGAGTCCATTCTGACTCATGGTGACTCCATGTGTGTCAGAGTAGAACTGTGCTCTACAGGGTTTTCAATGACTGATTTTTCGGAAGTAGATCACCAGGCCTTTCTTCTGAGGTGCCTCTGAGTGGACTTCAACCTCCAATATTTCAGTTAGCAGCCAAGTGCATTAACTGTTTGCACTACCCTGAAACTCTAAACCAGTTGCCAACAAATTGATTCCAACTCAATGGTGACAGATTGTCTTAGGGTTGAGGTTTTGTTAAAGAGTGGGTGACCAGGGGGTGCAGGCTGGGAAGGGATGAAAGTGCCACAACTGAGCTGATTGCCTGAGATGCAATAACAGGTTATAAGACTGAGCTGGAAGGAGTAGATTGGACAATTGAATAATGTTAGCAAAAGATTGTTAAAATCTATCCCTACTTGCATCCACTTACCGTTTGCTTCCTCTAGCCTGAATCTTTCTTCTGTTCCATCCTTCTCCCTTAGCATGATAAATAAGCTCCCATTTATCCTTAAACTTTTCACGAGCAACACTCTATCTCCTACCCTCAGTGAAACATGGATTTCATCACCCAAACCTATGAAATCTTTATTTTAAATGAAATTTGTTTATTATGATATTGTTAAAACATCAGAAAGACAAAGAGAATAACATAACAAGAACCCATTATCTAGATTTAACAAGTATAACATTTGGTCATATTTGCTCCAAAAATTTTAAGGAAATAAATAGTACAGATGCAGTTGAAACCCTCTTTGTTCGCTCTAAAACCTCCCCCCATACACACCAGACACAATCACTATTCTGGAGTTGGTAGTATACTCCCATTCAGGATTGATGCTTTTACTACATCCCACTCCAACTCATAGTGACCCCCATAGGGTTTCCAAGGCTGTAAATCTCTACGGAAGCAGACTGCCACATCTTTCTCCCGAGGAGCCGCTGGTGGTTTTGAACTGCTGACGTTTCTGTTAGCAGCCGATCACTTTCTTCAATGGATGGACCATTTCTAAGTTTTCTATATGACAGTATACATTCTTGTGAATGTCTCCTTGAGCACATGTGATAGCGTTTCTCTAGGGTCTAATCTCCAAGTGGAATTGCTGGGTCAGAGGTGTTCGAATGTTCAGCTTTGCTAGAGATTAAAAACAAACAAAAAACCTGTGGTATTTTGATTGGGATTGCATCAAATTCATAGGTAAATCGAGTCTTTTTTACCACATTGAGTCTTTCTATTAACACTGCATATCTCCCCATTTATTTAGGTATTCTTTTTTGTTCTTAAGCAAAATTTTGTAATTTTTTTTTGATACTGGTCTTGGACCTTTTTTGTTAGGATTATTTCTAGATTCCTTGAAGTTGCTGTTGCTATTGTGAATGGGGGGGGGATCTTTTAAAAATTATATTTTCTAATTTATTGTTACTTTAGTATAGGAAACTAAGAAACAGTACTGATTTTTTAAAATGTTGATTTATCTCCAACAAACTTGCTAAACTCTCTGTTTATCTAGAGATTCCTTTGGATTTTTTTTTTTTTTTGGTAGACAACCATTTTTTCTATGACTTCCATTCACTTTGTTCTTTCTTTCCAATCCTTATATGCCAAAATATTTTCTAGTGCTCTTTTCACAAGCAGGGTGGCACATCAAGTGTTTTCTGCAGAGGGGTCAAATGAAGCTCCTTTGCTTCATGCAGATCTGTGACCGCATCTCCCGTACCAAAGGGGCATCAACATGCCACACCCCAGCCCTTAGGGCCTCATTCCTGGTAGGAAAACTCAAGGGCCACTACAGCTTCGTATAATGTTCTGAGAACATCAGTTGCTTCAAATTGACAACAGTTCCATCCTAGAATTACATAGCCAATTATGCGTCTCTTTCATTTGTCACATCAGATTAGATTTCTGGCCCATCTAGTTAGGCAGATTGCCTTTGCCAGTGACCAATATAAGTGTACAACTCTTGCTTTAAGCTTCTCTTTGTTTCTCATACATAAAACCAAACCAAACCCATTGCCATGGAGTCAATTCCGACTCACAGTGGCCCTACAGGACAGAGTAGAACTGCCCCAAAGGGTTTCCAAGGAGCGCCTGGTGGATTCAAACTGCCAACATTTGGTTGGCAGCTGAACTCTTAACCACTACGCCACCAGGGTTTCCTTCTCAGACATAAGTACTCCCATTTGTTTTGCTTAAGTTCGACTATGTGTATTTTTTTTACATTTATAATTTATCTAGAATTTCTATGTGTTTTAATAAGAATGAGACCTATTGACATCAGCTCAGTCAGTCATGTTGCCAAAAGCTCCTCCTCTGAAATCTTACACTGCCATACATATGAGTTAACCATAGTTTCTAAGCCCTTCAGCTTTTCTGAACCCTTCCAACCCTGAGATATTAAGTATGATTTTGAATGAAGATGGGAAAGGGCATTTCAGGAGAAGAAACCAAATTGCTTTAGATTCAGAGGTGAGAAAGTACTTCACATTTTGGGGAAAAATAATTAGACCTGCATCCCCTGTCCCTAGCATTTAATTCACACGTGCAGTACAGGAGACACTGAGAATTGGTAATTGAATTAATTATTGAGTACAGCTCTATTTAGAAAAATTAGTGAGTTACTTAGGATAGCCTAGACTACAGTAACAAATAAATCTCAAAATGTATAGTGGTTTAAAGAGAATAAGTTTATTTTTCTCCTGTCATAGTGGGTATTTTTGGTGGTGGGTGGCTCTCCTGGACACGGAGAAGAAGGAGCACTGTTGTTCATTCCACCATGTGACTCCACTAGCCCATTCAGTCTTCTGCCATGTGCACCCAGCTGGCAAAAGGGGAAAGAGTGTGGAAGAAGCCTTGAACTGGAACACACCAATGGATTGGCCAGAACTCAGTCCCATGACCTCATCTCACTGTGAGGGAAGTTGGGAAATGTAGTCTAGCTGAGTGCCCAGAAAGAAGAGAATAACATGGATTTGGGTGAGGAGCTAGTAGTCTCTGCCATAATTCCTGGGTCCCAGACTGCAAGATGGATCAAAGGGGAGGGAATCTGTAGTTAAGCTGTTAAGGGAGCGTTACTGTATTCCTGGTAGAAGATGATGATTGTCTAAGCTAAAGCACTGATGCAGTAAGTAGAAAAATAGAGTTAAGTAAGACATGTTTTAAATGAAGAATCAACAAGATCAGATGTAAAGGTAAGGGAAAAACTGGGTGAATGTGCCTGTGAGCACCCAACATAGAATAAATCTGGAGTCAACTCAAGAAATATTGAGTACAAAGCTATTAGTGTCAACAATGAAAAATACTCCACAATAATCTCCTTGAGGAGATAAAAATGAACAAGATGTGATTTTCCTCCTCAAAAAAGCTTGCAGTCTACTTAGGTTGGACATGCAGAGTCCAGGGTTTGGTCAGACATGTTGGGGGGATGACTGAACATGGAAATATGGGAGAAATCAAGTTTACAGATTGAGGCCTCAGAGTCATTGGCAAAGTGGTAGTGGAAACCACTGTGGAGCTGGATGAATCACCAAAAGAAATAATGAAGAAAGGGAGGTGAAGACAAAGAAGAAAAACATTAAGGGTTTGAGGAAGAGATAAAACCTATCAAAGGAGACGGCAAAAGTGTATTTTGAAAATAGAACACCCGGAGGGGTGTGTGTGTGAAAAATTTACTAGGCTGGTTTTGACAGGACCTATACGCAGTGATCCCTGTGATTTACAACTGATTGATGTCAGCATAGATACCTGTCACCTCCTGGGCTTTGGCTCACTCTGAGTTTGGTCAGTGGACCAACTCCTAATTGTCCAGAATAGTCCTTCTATGGACACACCCATTGCACTGGAGTGTTTTTTTCTTAGATTCCAAAATGCTGTCCTTTCTTTATCATGTGTAATAAAATTAGTGTGTGATTCTGGCTTCTCTATTAAGTTGTAAGGCAGAGACTATGCCTCAATTCACCTTCTTTTCTCCAACACAATGCCTGGCACAGATGGCATGTTTAACACCTATATGTTGAATAAATGAATAAATAAACTCTATTTTTCTCAGATTGGTCATTTTCCATGAGGCCTAACAAAATGTTTAGAAAATGGTATATGAAAAGTTAATTATCTGTTAAATGATTAAGTCCTGGGTATTTGAGTTGTGGTTCTGTGTTGGGGAGGATGAATTCACAGATTGCTCACTTCTTAGACATGAGTTTCTAGATGTGACTGACAAATAGTCCCACTGACCAACAGGGATTTTTCTCCCCCCAGAATATTGGCTGTCTCTGGATTTAGTTAACCCTGGTAGAAAGCGAGCTGATCTATGGAGTCAAAAGTGGTAAATAAGGAAGATCATCAAACAGTAATTTCACCAATAATTCTGGATTCTTCCCCTTTCATGCTGAAGGCGCCATGAGGGAAGAAAACCAGTCCTCTACCCTGAATTTCATTCTTCTGGGAATTACCAGTCAGCAGAAGCAGGAAGATGTCTTCCTCATGTTCTTCCTGTTTATTTACCCCATCACACTGATTGGAAACCTGCTCATCATCTTAGCCATTCGCTCTGATGTTTGCCTTCACAACCCCATGTACTTTTTCCTTGCCAACCTCTCCTTTGTTGACATCTTTTTCTCATCTGTAACCATCCCTAAGATGCTGGCAAACCACCTTTTGGGCAGTAAAGCCATCACCTTTAGAGGATGCATAACACAAATGTATTTCATGATTGCTTTGGGTAACACAGATAGCTATATCTTGGCTGCAATGGCTTATGATCGTGCTGTGGCCATCAGCCGACCTCTCCATTACACAACAATTATCAGCCCAAAGTTTTGCATCCTGCTTGTTGTTGGGTCTTGGGTAATTGCAAATGCCAACACCCTCCCCCACATTCTGCTCACAGCTAGTCTGTCCTTCTGTGGCAACCAGGAAGTGGCCAACTTCTACTGTGACATTTCCTCTTTGCTCAAGTTGTCCTGTTCTGATATCCACTTAAATGTGAAAATGATGTACCTAGGGGTTGGTATTTTCTGTGTACCATTAATATGTATCATTATCTCTTATATTTGGGTCTTTTCCACTGTTCTGCGGGTTCCATCCACCAAGGGTGTGCTCAAAGCCTTTTCTACCTGTGGCTCCCACCTCACAGTTGTTTCTTTGTATTATGGGACAGTGATGGGTATGTATTTCCGTCCTCTGACCAGTCACAGCCTAAAGGACGCAGTGATAACTGTGATGTACATAGCAGTCACCCCAATGTTAAATCCTTTCATCTATAGTCTGAGAAACCGAGACATGAAGACTGCCTTGGGGAAACTCTTCAGCAAGAGAATTTCCTCATAAAACCAACGTGAGGTCATACATTGGGGAGGGTAGTCACCATTAAGCATGCACGTAAGAGTCCAGCTCCAATGTCATCCCCCTCCAAGAGCCATCACTGATTTTTCCAGTCCGAAAATTCCTCTTCTCAGAAATCTTGTAATAGTTTGATAAGACATCTTATTGAAATTTTCACTTGTACACATTATTGCTCCTTTAGGCAAAGTGACAGCACAAGGATATTAGGTTTATTTCCCAGTTATGCTACTGACTAGCAGAGTAATGTTAAGAAAGTATGATCACTGGCTTCCACATCTACCTACTGGGAATAATAATCTCTGCCCTGCCTCTGTCATAGATAAGCCATAAAATGGGAAGAGATCTTCACAATACATACACAAGACAAAGAATCTCTTGGATATTAAAAAAAAACAACAACAACTTAAATCAACATACTTCCTCATTTCAAAACTTACTACCAAGCTACAGCAATCAAAACATGTGGTACTGGCATAAGGACAGACACATAGAGCAATGGAATAAAACTCACAGTCCAGAAATAAACCTATACGTCCATGGTCAATTGATTTTTTTAAATTTAATTTAAATTTTTTGTGAAAATACACACAGCCAATCTGTCCCTTGTTCCACATTTCCTAGATGTGAAGATCGGTGACATTGGTTACCTTCTTCACATTGTGTCAATATTCTCGTTCTAGTTGTTTCACTCCCATTTACTTACTCTGTCTTCACCCTAACCTTTTAAATCTATGCTTTAAAATAGCTGTTAACCCTTTGGTCTCATGTAATTTTTTTTTTTTTTAAATGCAGTACTCAATGTGGACAATCTTTTTTCTTTGGGCTAAACTGTTACTTAGCTTAAAGGTGACTTCAGGGGATAATTTCAATTCAAAATTTGAAGAGCAATTCAGGGTCATTGTCTCTGGGACTTCTCCAGCCTCAATAGGTCAAATGACTCTGGATTCTTTAAGAATTTAAAGTTCTGTGCCACGTTTTTTCCCCTTTTTATCAGGATTCATCTGTTGTATTCCTTATCAGAATGTTCAGTAGTAGTAGCTGGGCACCATCTAGTTCTTTTGGTCTCAGGGTGGAGAAGGCCATGGTTCATGTAGACAGTTAGTCCTGTAGACCAGTTCCTTCTATGATTCTTGGGTTTCCTTCTTTCTCTTTTGTTCCAGACAAATAAAGGTCAATAGTTGTATCTTACGTGGCTGCTTGTCAGCTTTTAAGACTCCAGACACTACTCACCACACTGGGAGATGGAACATAAACTTTAAAAACTATATTATGCCAGTTGACTAGGTTGTCCCATGAGATGATGGCTCTAAGCCTCCAAATCAAGAGAACTAATTCCACGGGATGATTGGTTATGTCTAATTAGTATCAGCATCTGTAGCCCCTCTCCCCACTTTTTTTTGTTATGTGGTGCAGCTGGTTAAGAGCTTGGTTGCTAACCAAAAGGTTGGCAGTTGAAATCCACCAGCTGCTCCTTGGAAACCCTATGGGGCAGTTCTACTCTGTCCTATAGGGTCACTATGAGTTGGAATCGACTTGATGGCAATGAGTTTGGTTTTGGTTTTTTTATTGTTGCAAAACCATGCATGACCTAGCATTTGCCCATTCATCTCTTTTCCCTTTGTACACTTATTGATAACAGTTACATCAGTCATGCTGTGCAAACTTCATCCATGTTAGGTGCCACCTTTCCCATTTCTATAAACCAGAAGTGACTACCTAGAGAGTACTTCTGCCTCCCCCAACCCCTGGTAACCACTAATGAGCATTAGTTACCGTATATTTACCTATTTGTGTAATTTCATAAAAGTGAGAACATACAATATTTTTTTTTGTAATTGACTTATTTTGCTCAATGTAATGTCCTCCAGGTTCATCCACATTGTAAGATGTTTTGGGAACTCATTTTTCTTTATCACTAAGTAGTATTCCATTGTATGTATGTACCGCATTTTATTTATCCTTTCATCCATTGATGGGCCCTTAGGTTGTTTCCATCTTTTTGCAATTGTGAATAGTGCTGCAATGAACATAGACGTGCATATGTCTGTTCGTGTCACTTCTATTAGATCCCAAGGTATATACCTAAAAGTGGAATTGCTCAGTCATATGGCACCTTTAGCTCTAGTTTTTTGAGAAATCACCAGACTGTTTTCCACAACAGCTGTACCATTTTGCATTCCCACCAGCAATGGATGAGGGAATTGATTTTGATAAGGGTGGCAATACCAGTCAGTGGGGAAAGAATAATCTTGTAAAAAATGGTGCTGGGACAACAGGATATCGACACGCAAAAAAATGAACTTGGACCCGGTTATTGTTAGCTGCTGTTGAGTTGGCCCCAGACTCATGGCAACCCCATGTGTCACATAGTAGAACTGCTCCATAGGGTTTTCTTGGCTGTAATCTTTCTTGCAGCAGTTTGACAGGTGTTCTGTATGTTTCTATAATGTTCTCAAATCACATAAGGTATATGTCACTATTATGCTTTCATATACATCTCTTTAAGCACTAATAATATGAATTTAGAAATCGAAATATGTGTGCTTTTGTGAAGCTCTCTAACATTAACTATAAATCATTAGAAACTTGTACATCATTAAAAGTTATCTAGAAAAAATTGAACTTAGACATAGAAGTATGTGAATTATGTGAAGAATGTAAACAACCTTCAAGTTGACTTTGCCTAACATGCTGTGATTGAAGAAAATATAACTAGTTAATCTTTGTAAACCCACCAGAAGACATAAATCTAAACAGCCTCCTTAATCTCTAACCTTGAAGAAAAAGATGTGACATTTGGCTAATTTCTAACCCTGGAGAGAAGACATAACCTGCTAGCCTTTGATGTCACACTGGCCCTTATTGTGTGAGGCCAAGGTGAAAAATTCACATATAAGCTCTGAATTTCTGCTCACTCACTGAGAGAAGGCAAAGATGGAATCTCCCTCTAGAGTCTGACTCTGAAGACTGAGACTCTGGACTGAGGTTCTGTCCATTGCTGCCGACCTTGGACCATAACTACAAAGGACTTTCACTAAGTTGAAGCCTTGATCAAGCCTTCCTCCTAAGATGACTTGTAAAAGGTAAAACCTTAAAGTCTAAAGATTTGGACTGTAACCATTGAACAACGTTGTAATTATAATTGTTAGTTCTGATTCTCTGGTTCTAAATGAATGTCATGAGATCTTACTTGCGTGCCTTGCCATGACTGTCTTGCAGTAAACTAAATGAGTTTATGCATTTCAAACCTGAGTATTTCTCTATTAATTTCTAATATTAAAATCTACACAACACCAGGCATTTCTTCTGGAGATCCACTCAGTGAGTTCCAACTGCCAACTTTTGGGTTAGCAGCTAATCACAAACTACTTGTGCCACTCAGTCTTCTTACCTCACACCAATATAACAACTAACTCAAAACAGGTCAACAACCTAAATATAAGAGCTAAAACTATAAAACTCTTAGAAGAAAGCATTGAGGTAAATTTTCATGACCTGGGATTTGCCAGTGAATTCTTAGATATGATATCAAAAGAAAAACAACAAAAGAAAAAATAGATAATTGAACTTTATCAAAGTTAAAAACTTTTGTGCATCAAAGGGTATTATCAAGAAAATGAAAAGACAACCTACAGAATGAGAGAAAAAAATTATAAATCCTGTATCTGATAAGGATCTAGTATCCATAATATATAAAGAATTTACAACTCAATAACAAAAACACAAACAGCCGAATTTAAAGATGGACGAAGGACTTGAATAGACATTTCTCTAAAGAAGATATACAAATGGCCAACGAGCACATGAAAAGATGTTCAACATCATTAGTCATTAGAGAAATGCAAATCAAAACCACCATAAGGTACCCTCAGACCCACTAGAATGGCCATAATTTAAAAAATGAGAAATAAGTACTGCTGAAGATGTGGGGAAATTGGAACCCTTGTCCACTGATGGCTAAAATGTAAAATGGCGCAGCCACTGTATAAAACAGTTTGGTGGTTCTTGTAAAAGTTAAACATAGAATTACCACATAACTCAGCAATTCCACTCCTGGGTGAAAAAAACCAAAACCAAACCCGTTGCTATCAAGTCAATTCTGACTCATAGCGACCCTATAGGACAGAGTAGAACTGCCCCATAGGGTTTCCAAGGAGTGCCTGGTGGATTCGAACTGCCAACCTTTTGATTACCACCTGTAGCACTTAACCACTACACCACAAGAGTTTCTGATACTCCTAGGTATGTGCTCAAAATAATTGAAAGCAGGGACTCAAACAGATACTTGTACGTCAGTGTTCATTGCAGCATTATTCACAATAGCCAAGAGGTGGAAATAACCCAAATGTCCTTCAACTAATGAATGGATACATGAAAGGTGGTATATTCATACAATGAGATATTATTCAGCCATAAAAAGAAATAAAATATTGATACACGGTATAATGCGAGTGAACTCGAAAACACTATGCTAAGTGAAAAAAGCTAAACACAAAAGCCCACATACTGTATGATTCCATTTATATGAAATCTTTATAATAGAGATAGAAAGCAGATTGGTGGTCACCAGGGGCTAGGGATAGGGCAGAATGGGGAGTAACTGGTAATGGGTATGGGGTTTCATTTTGGGGGTGATAAAAATGTTTTGGAGCTAGATAGTGGTGGTGGTTACCCAACATTGTGAATGCACTGAATGTCACTGAATTGTTCACTTTAACATGTTTAATTTTATGTAATGTGAATTGCACCTCAATCAAAATTAAAAAAAAAACAAAAACTAAAAGTCAATAAGATACTGCACAAACAACCCAATTATAAATGGTCAAAACACTTAAAAAGCCCATCTTAAAAGGTGATATACAAATGGTCAAGAAACGTATGTAAAAGCGCTCAACCTCATTACTCATCAGGAATTGGCAACTTAAAACCACAATGAGATAATAAGATATACCCACTAGGGTGGCTAAAAATTACAAGACTGACAA